TAAGTAGCATATGAATCTCATATTGAATCTACAAGCATAGAAGTATAATATTCGCGATGAGGGATCATAAAACCCTACGACGGTGAAATTTGACTCGGCTATAGTGGCATCTGATATGGATGAGATGGCATATGATATGGAAGAGTTGACATCTAACTCAGTTGTACTAGCATATGAAATGGTTGTGGTACCATCTGATATGGCTGCAGTGCAATCTAAAATGGCTGCAGAATGTACACTAGTGTAGACCTTGGCTGCTGTGATGGTTTCGATGTTGTAATTAAGGACGAGCCGAAAGTGCATGCTTTCTATCCATGAGTCGAGGGATGATGATACCGTGACAGTGGACGTCTTTGTCGGCACTGATGAATGCTCTCATCTCGTTTTTTCTCAAAAAGTAGGAATAATTTCCCATTCGTGTTGAACCACTCGTAATAATTATTCACAGCCAAATAATTATCCACATAAATGGATTATGTACGATGAATGCGTCTACATCAGTCCTCCCATATTATTACCCACTCGATGTGCTTCAACAACAATCGACTTATTTTTTGCCTCGTCTATCGATGATATGCATATCGTCGAGATTCTTAGGTGCTTCCAGAATAGATTGTACGAAACCAAATTGTCGAACCATGCAATCAGTAGGATACCACTCGACAATAACATAACATATTAGAGGGATCACTGCCATCCAGACATCTAATTGGCCTCTCAAGTGATGTGAGATGTAAATCATCATTTCTTCAGTAGAATAAAGAGCCCATTGAAACTAAAACAAATATATATAATTCTTATCAAAATAATATTTTAATTATATAACGATAATTAAAAGTAAATAATAAAATTTAAATGCATACCTTTGTATCAGCCTTCTGATCAATGAGTAATTGAATTTCTTCAAATTCATCAGGTAAATTCCGATGATCTTTTGTTGCACTTGACCACCTATTCAATGAAAAAAAATTCATTATATACTCAATAAAATTATTTATATACGGATTCAGTATTGAAATTACTTCGACAATAACGGGAAGACCAACGGGTTTTTCACGATCGAACATTAAAAGGGCATGTGATACCACGCCCAAGACTGGAGAAGAATGAGACATTCGTCGATAGCTTTTTTTCAATAATCAGTTACTCGACACATTTCCCTATACATAAATGCCAAAACTGCAGAGCCCCGACTGAATGTGCCAGCAACGTGAAAATCTGCGGGGTGACGTAACCACATACAATGAACTTGGTTGTGTGCTTTGTTGGGCATCAGGATCCCTCCTATGAGCTGTAATATACAAGATCGTGCATACATTTTAACCTGTTCCTCGGAGGCATCACGACTCAAATGTTTAAAAGTTGCATCTAACCAATTTAACGATATTCAACCACCGTTGAAATTCAACGGGACACCTCCAAGATACTCCTCGCATAAGGAATGTCAGTCACCATCCGCCACCCCAGAAATCACATCCCCATCTACCGAAAGCCTCAAATGTATGAAAACATCATCTAGCGTAATCGTGCACTCTCCACACGGAAGATGGAATGTGTGTGTCTCTGGTCTCGACCTCTCAACCAATGCAGAAATAAGGTTAAATTCAAGGTTACAGTGCCCTTCATATTTCTCTATGTAACCGAATCCAACATCGACTAAATATGGACAGACACGAGTAAATATCTCTAACTTAACGTTACGAATGAATGGATATAATATACGATCTATCTCCTAATTTAATAAATATTTTACAAATTAAAATATAATCTAATGCTACAAAACTAAATAAATAAAACATTCACAATAATTAAAATAACAACACAATTTAAAATTGTTACTGTATCGATAAAATTCCTCGAGATATGATTCTTATCTAAACGTAGCAACCTATCTTCTATTTTATAACTGCAAAAAGTAATAAAAATTAGTACAATAAAATTTAATAAAATAATAAATTATTAAATAATTATAATATAATAGAAAATATTTTACATTCTTAATATAAAGATTGATAATAGGAAGAATGAGAAAATTTGATATTTGAGTGTGGTTTGAAGGTTGTGTTGAGTGTGGTATTTATAGAGAGAGGGGAGGGGGACATGTGGTAATTAATATGGGAGACGTGCGTGTCAGAACCCCGCGCCTTTCGTACATGTTAGAACCCCGTGAAGGCGCGGATGACGATTCGTGCCTTCCCCTTATGTGACGCCAACTCGGACAGAATCCCGCGAAGATACGTATGGAAATCCACACTTTATTATCATCGTGCCAGAAAAGATGATAAATCGATAATATTTAGAGAAAAGATACCTGACATATAATTATTCTGTGTAACGATGATATTTCGATAAAAACGCTGCCCCTTACCATAAACACCCACCCGTGTACACAAACTCCTCCGTAAATAAATATATAAACAAATTTGGTCTATAAATTATCATCTCATGTATACTTTATTAATGAAAAAGTAATTTTACAAATAACATGTTAAATATTTTATTATTCATTCTTAATTTAATATTAATAAACGTATAAATCATATTTTTTTTATTTCAATCTAAATAAATGTTTAATATTAGAATGTATAATCCGTTACGCCTGTTAAAAAAAATCTGATATATGATGCATGTCGCGCTTATGAAATTTTGAATTTTTTAATTTAAAATTATATATTTTTAAAAAATTTCAATTTATCAATAAACTCATTTATGTTGAAATTCATAAAATATTATTATGTTAAGTTACATATTAGATAATTTATGTTGGAGTCCATAAACAAGCTGAACTTAACTTAATTTATCAAAATATATCCAAATAACTTCTTGCTTAAGAAACTTTTTCATTGAGCATGAAATTGTAGAGGTGTTTTGAATTATTATAGATACATATAAACTAATTATGACATTTATCTACCTACCAAATCTGGTTACAAAGTAATACATAATTAAAAAAAATTGAAACACTTTTAATTTTAAGGTAAATTACGAATTTTCTCCCTTACCTATTACCTAGTTTTGGTTTTGATCATCAAACTGTTATTTTTTATAATCATATTTATCGTTATGTTTTGATCATCTGTCGTTAAAAAAATAACAGTGATACTAGTGTGACATTTTTATTTTTAAATTTTACATGACATTACCTTATAGTGACACGTTAGTATCACTGTCAATTTTTAACGACGAGTGAACAAGATAGAATTAAAACGAACTGTTAAGTATGATTTCCAAAAACATAATAGTTATATGACCAAAATTAAAATTAAGTAATAGATGAGTGACCAAATAGGTAGTTTACCCTTAGTTTTAGTATAATTTGAAAAGTCTAGGGAGTGAATTGATTCTGAGGTACAAGTAAAGGCGTAAATAATTTATAGTATTTGATTCCTCCATTCTTCATTCATTTCTTGTCAGCATCACCCACTGTCTCAAAATTATCACCAGCCACTCTCTTTCCCTGGTTCGTGCTCTTTTTCATCCTTTGTTTTTCAATTTTTTTCCTGTACAAATGAAGATATTTTCTACAAGAACTGCAATTCTTTGATCATGCTTTTCTCTTTTCTTGTATTTGATTCTAGTAAAGTTCTTAGTTTGGAATTCTCTGGGTTGTTTTTATCTTTTTAGATGTTGGTTTTGTTTGTTTCTTGGATTTATCTTGCTTGCTTGAGTCCTTGCCTTGGCTGCTTTCTCTTCCTTGAACTTGTATATTTCTGGGGATTCTTGTTTTTCAATAGCAGTAGCAAATTTCTGCAACTTTGAAGATACTAATTTTTCTGCTTGCTTTATTTCTACTACTATGCCTTTTCTTTTTGGGTGAAGTTAGTGTTTTAAATCCAGTGCCCATGATGTTTTAGATTCTACATGCATATTAATAGTTGTGGAAGTGAAATTTTTTATGTTAGGGGCTAGGAAAAAATAATAAGTTATAAAACTCGAGGTAGATGGTCACTTTTTTGTGCTCTATGGAAGCTACATCTTGAAAATCTGAACACTTAAATTTTTTAATTCAGTATGGCATTACATCTTAAGTGAAGTTTCAATTGCTAATTCCAATGTTCAAAAATCATCTGTATAATAGGGGTTAGCTAAAAATTGAAACATAATCATTTTTGGACTATCATTTAGTCTGCTTTGATACTTATGAATATGTCATGATGGACATGATACTGGATCCGTCTAGCTACCCCAAAATTACTAGAAATTGTTTCTTATATTTCAGTTGTCAGTTGGTTGTTTATTTGTGTCTAGTGAGAAGCCAAGCAAAAGGAAATTTGTTTTTGTTTTTGTGTGGTAATAAGATTGATGATCAAGACTTTGTTTTTGAATCTTTTTCCCCCATATATATTGCAAATTTACTAATAAAAAGTTCAGATTATTTGTGATATGTTAGAATATTGATGAGATTTAAGGGATGTTCTGTTTGTACTTGGAGAATAATTTTGTCTATTTTCTTGAAGCACAAGAATAATGCCTGAGAAAATAACACCAGAGGACCTTTTAAGCAATCTGGTGGAGACCGTTGCCGATAGTGTTTCTAAGAAGAAATATGTGTCTTTTTTCAAGGAAGATAACTCAAACTTGGTTGTCTCCAGATTCAACCGGCTTTTCGGACGTGAGAGGCCTGTCCACCATATATTGGGGGGTGGAAAATGTAGGACTTTCTACCCTTTTCTTAAATTGCTAAAAACCACTTGCATTGATAAATGTTGTTACTGTAAATTGTGCAGCTGCTGATGTTTTGTTATGGAGGAACAAGAAGATCTCAGCCAGTGTTTTAGCTGGTGCAACAGCAATATGGGTTCTATTTGAATGGCTTAATTACCATTTCCTGACCCTTCTATGCTTTGCTTTGGTTCTTGGCATGCTTGCTCAGTTTGTTTGGTCAAATGCCTCAGGTTTTCTTAACAGGTGCTTATCTGCTGTTTTTATTTCTTTTTATTTGTTTCTCTTCATGGTTTTGCTGCTATGTGTTCTCCGATTGGATTGCGTAGTTTTTTTTAATAGTAAATTGCTTCATGGAAACAGGTCATCTTCTCAAGTGCCACGCCTTGTTTTGCCCGACGAATTATTTGTCAGCATCGGTAGGTCAGTCGGTGCTGAGGTGAACCGGATCTTACAGTTTCTGCAGGATGTTGCATGCCGAGGAAACCTGAAACAATTTCTTCTGGTAGGCTCTTGATATTTTCCCTAGTACTCTTCCCTTAGCTACATATTCTTGCAAAGTAAATGGTCCTTGTTGTCCATATACCTTTTAAAATTTCTGGCGTATATTTCTAGAAGCATTCTGCAAATTCTTAAATAGTGTATTATTAATGAAGGATGAAGCAAAGTATGATCAATTTCTATATGTATTCTACTTACTGTGGCATTTTTCACTCTTTATTTAACCTGGTTTTTGAATTACTTTCTTATTTTTGGTTGTATACTTGTAATTGCTTGTTAAAATTGAAAATATTGAAGTGAAATATGTCAATAAATAGCCCTCACTAACATTTTACAAATGCATGCAATTTTAGAGACTTAATCCAGAAAAAAGATTGAAAATCAAACCAAAAAAAAATTGGAACAAGTTTCAGCATGTTCGATCCACAATGCCGAGAAAACTTGCATTGGTTTAGACTTTTATAGAACATTTCAACTTCGTTTCCAATCACAGTATGTGGGAGAAGAACATTTTGTTGAATCTGCATTCCTAACAAGTTTCCTATGTCGCACTAGATTTGCTGTAGTGAATTATTAATGATCAAAATCTTTGCAGGTTGCAGTAAAGCTTGTGGGTTGCCGCTGTTATTGGAAGCTGGTGCAACTTTTTGACTGTTTTGTACATTGGTAAGAAATTTTATTAACTTTATCTTGCATTAATAGCTCGGTTGTTCCATTTAGAAAAGAAAGCACTGTGATACTCTTGATGTGTGGTTGTGTGCTCTGTTACTCGGACTTGGGTGTGTGACAGGCGGATATGTATATGTCCAATACGAGTCTATGTCCGATACAGTTATATCCTTGCACCCTTGTCTGAAAATGTGTTGGATTCGGGTAATTTGGGGAAATTAATTATTAAAGAGAAGGAGCAACATAGGTTGTCTGCACCATACTTTTTTAAGCGCACAATAATCTGTATATGGAACCATACAAGTTTTTTATTTTGGTTATCAGGTTTTGTTGCGGCCCATACATTACCAGTGCTGTATGAGAGGTATGATGATCAAATAGATGGGTTTGTTTACAATATCTTTGAGCAGCTTCAGAATCACTATAAAAAGTTGGATTCTGGTGTCAAGGGAAAGTGGAAGCTTAAGAAGCATGACTAGCTTCATTTGGTTACTCTCATTACATCTTTAGGGTTTCTGTAGCATATCTTATTGTTGTTGGGATCTGATATATATTCTCAAACACTTGAATAAATATCCTTGCCAACCTCATCTACTGGGTTTATTAATGACTGCTATGTTCCATTATAACTCAAATTCAAGTGTTAGATATTAGATATGGGCATGTTTAATTTTCTTCCCCCAAGATACTTGGAGGGTCACCTCCCAATTTCGTTCTTTAGTTGCAAAATCAACTTTAATGGTGCAGTCAAGTGAACATGAAACTAAATTATTGTCTTTTAACTGTTGTGTTATGTTTATACAATTCTAATCTAGTGTTTAAATATAATCTTTCAAGTATGTACTCATTAAGTGATTGAAGACAGCAGTCTGGACGACTCATACAATTATGTGTCTTCAACATCTGTAAAATTCGTATACTTTTTGGTTTAATATTTTCATCTATTTTTATTTTAGTCCTGAATGATGTTAGACTGGGAGCAAAACGCCTGTAAAGCCTACCATATAGGTCAAGACACGTCCTACGAAACACATGTTTTGAAATGTCAAAAGATGTCATTTTCGTCAATAATATTCAGTAAAAAAAGTTTAAAGGATATTATTCTAATAAATTAACTGCTTTTTGCACATATAGTACTGCCCCGTCTTGGATAACTAACAAAGGATGCCATCAGCTAGTGCTCGATGTCTTAAAGCAAGCCAGTCAAGTGCATGAACTTTAACGAAGTGTTGGTTCAAGTATCTTCCTTTATTGAATCAATCAAGTGAACCGTATGTATCCCTATTTTTAACCTAAAGTTTTGGGTTTTGAAGCCTATAACTCATTTTTACAGAAATGGCAATGCTAAACAAGTAAACCATTTTGACTTTTCTTGTTTAAATCATATGGTCTGACAAACCAAGCCAAATAATCATGGATGAAATAACATTTACTCTCCAGTCCTCACATATCTACACTTCTAAAATATTAAACCAATATTTTGTCAACATTTCAATCACTTTTCACAGCAATCTCAATCACTTATAAAATTTCAAAACCATATTTTTCTCTCACTTATTCCAACGTAAGCTTCTTTGAAATCAAGTTTTTTTAAACATCAATGCTAAAGTAATCTTAAGTTGTAGCACATTTTTTTTATCATTTCAGGACTACAGTTCATATTCTAACTACGGTTTCAGCAATTGACTCAAATCGGCCAAGTTTCAAAAAGATTTGCCCTCAACTAAAAAACTAGAACTGAATCTTATTTCCATATTTATTAGCCTAACTGAAAAAGGGGAAATAGAACTTTGAAACCATGTCTGGCCAACTTATCGACTCTAAATCCCCATTGTTGACTTGACTTGCTGGCACAATAACCAGTTCATAACTGGATATAAAAGCCAGCGCAAGTACTCCTGATCCAACTTGTACATTAAAGATATAAACTGAAGCAACCATTTCTATAGTTTGCATATTTCAAGAAAGGGCTAAAGTAAAACAGATAAATCAGAATCGAGCAAGGACCTCTTAATTTGAACCACAAAAGAGTTGAGAAGCTAAACCATCTGCTGCTACACTGCTACTAAACATTGCAACTAGAACAAAGGACTCAATACACAGATGCTGTACATGATAAATATTGTTTATCATGTAAGTAAGAGTAGTTCTGCATGACATAAAACTTAACTTACTGACAAGACATTTCGATTTCATTTGGGACGCATTCTGTGGTACCTGAAACCTTTCGGTTGGAAAGCTCTTTAAGACGTTTAACTTCGTTCTCCACATCAACCATTTGTTACTCAGAAGAGAAGCCCCTCCTCTTCTTCTTGTTTCAGACGCTGCTTTTCTATTTCCCTTGTGCTCAGAACTAACCCCCCAGACCCAATAACATCCTTGTAAAGTGGTTCATCAGGCAGGGGACAACGTACTCTATACTCGGTAAAAGCTCTGTTTGTTTCCTTCAAAGCCTTTCTGTATCCATTTAAAAGATCTTCCATCACCTCCTCTTCTTCTTGTTTCAGACGCTGCTTTTCTATTTCCCTTGTGCTCAGAACTAACCCCCAGACCCAATAACATCCTTGTAAAGTGGTTCATCAGGCAGGGGACAACGTACTCTATACTCGGTAAAAGCTCTGTTTGTTTCCTTCAAAGCCTTTCTGTATCCATTTAAAAGATCTTCCATCAAATAGAGCTCGCGCCCAAGCCTATACACCTCCATCTGTCTCTTCTGCTGCTCTTCAAACTTGGCCTTCTGCAAATGTTCGATTAGGTTATCCCTCCGTTGCAGCTCATGGAGCAAAACTTCTTGGTTCATACTGGAATCTCCACAAGCTTGTTCTTTTGCAGAATACAGCATTCTAGCTTTCTCCATCAGATGCTGCATTTGACCAATGCATATATCAAATTCAGATGACTTGTCCCATTGCCCATCAGTTCTCAACCTCTTATTGCTAGCATTCAAAGAATTACGAGAAATATCATTTTCATGATCAATCTCTCTCTTGTTACTATTACCCAGAAATGACGAGACACCAGGAACTGTTTGCGCATCAACCCTAGATACAAGAAATTCTCCTGGTGAGTTATCGCGAATGTGCAACCCTGTTGTAAAAGAGAGATTGGCGGCTTCCATTCCTTCAAGAAGATTTGTTGAATGCAGACCCTGTAAATTGTCACCGTTTGGTGAAATAGGAAAGCCTTCTCCATGTTGAACCTGTTGTTCATCTTGTTCTTCATGCTGCTCCTCTTGTTCCTCATGTTCCTCTTCTTTTACTCCCTCTTCTCCCTCTCCCATCTCTTCTTCCTCACCCATCTCTACTTCCTCACCCATCTCTACTTCCTCTTCCTCCACCACATCAACATCACCAAGATCACACTGTCTTAAGAAATTCTCCCCGCCGACATCCATATGGCTGCCTCCATTCAATGCCATTTCACCAGTCGAGTTCATCCTCCTTACTTTCCTCACAATCCATAACATCCTCATTCCTAACAACAGCATCCTTTCAACACCGTCCTTATTCATCAAATTATCCTGCCCACAGTCCTTTCGGAAACCATCCTCATTCTCAAATTATCCTGCCCACCAAGACTCAACTCAATATTATGTTCCTCCAACTGCGATCCCTCGTGAGATTCATTAACCAAGTCAGAAGAAATCTTGAAATCCCCATGAACATTTTGCTCTTCCTCTTCCTCCTTGGCGTCATAGACCTCATTTCGTGGTTTCTCCAACAGCATCTCTTCCTTCTGGAATTTTATCAAACATTGCATATGCGAGGCATAGTAACAATTCTTTAAATTGGGAGAAGCCATGAGCTCTTTCTCAACCATAAACCAAATCAAACCAGCCCAATCTACCTTCTCAAAATTGCATTCTTTTATCATTTTGGTCCAGGTCATCACCTCTACTGGCATCATCCACGTATCCTCGTGTAAAAGAACCCAATTTGACACAAATTCCTCAAGACAGCTTATCGATTCCTTCGACTCTTCAATATCGCTGCTATCCTTATCCTTCTTCTTAGACAACTTCAAGGCACGAGCCAAGTCGGCCCGGTTGACCCCAATGCGCCACCCATTAACGTAGCTACAACGAGATTGCGAGTTGTACGTAGCGATTAACTGAGCGATGAGATCGGTTCGAAGATCTCTGTCGAATTCCAAATGAACAAAATCCCACAGACCGAGTCGCTTCAAGAGCTTTTCGTGCGACGAAAAATCAAAGGTTTTGTTGGGGACGAAAGGAATGGGCTTTAGGACTTCACTCAGTATCTCCAGCTTCTTCTGGGCCTTTTTCTCCTGAGCGCGTCGTTTCGTGGCCGCCTTCTTCCTTTTAGGACCGCCGCCACGGCGAAAACCACAGGGGTGGTGACGTGTAGGTCAGTGTTGGGTGGAGATGAAGGAACAGACAAATCTGGGTCGTCTACATGAGCTTCTTCTTCGATCAGATCTTCTTGACCATCAGGTTTGTGTTGGGGTTGAAGGGCTTCGGGGCATAAGGCTTTAGGCGAATCCTGTGGTTGGTCAGGGTTAGGGTTTTCGTTGGGGTCTGGTTGTGGTTGGTCTGGACAATCAGTGGAGGAGGCCATGGGAATGAAAGTGAAAATTTGTATGGGGAGAAAATCAAAGATCAGAGACGACTTACAATTCCGTCACTAAAGCTTTCACACCTCCACCTTAATTAAATAAAAATAAGGTTAAAATACATCAAAAATCTCTTTAATTTTAAAATTTTTGAAAATATAAAATAATCATTAAATATAAAATACATCCAAAATATCTAGTTCTACCTCTATATAAGTGATATCTACCTCCATGTATGTGTAGAATCCTCTTATTTTTAAAAAAAAAAAAAATTTAGTGATCAAAAATGTCTTATAATATACGATTTTAATTAAATTTTTTTGGATTTACAAAAAAAAACCAACAAATTTGTAACATGATTTCAAATTCGCAATACAAACTCCAATTTCGCAACGCAATTTCTAAATTCGCAACGTGAATTTTGAATTCGCAACACAAAATTAAAATTTGCAACTCGAACATGGAAATTTTTGCAGCGTGAATTTCGCAACACGAATTACCGATATAGGTAAACACAACTATTCGTAACTCAGTTTTCAAATTCGCAACTCGAATTCGAATTTCGCAACGCGAATTTCGTTTTCGCAACGAGAATTTTGCAACGCGAATTACCAATATAGGTAAACACAGTAGAAAAAATCCAGTAAAAAAACCGAATTCGCCAATTTGAAAACTGAGTTGCGAATTTGGCAAATTCGTCTTGCGAAATGTAAAATCTCACCTCTTAAAGAAAAAATAATTTCGACGGTTCGTTTGTTTGGTTAAAATTAAACGAACGAACGAACATGAACATATCCTCATTCGTGTTTGTTCAATTCATTTACAGGCGTAGGTTTAGCTGAGTGATTCATACGTGGACTTAGCAACTAGATGTCCCAGGTTGAAAACTCTAGTGTATTTATGTCCTTTTATTTCTCTCTTTAATAGGATGATGACGTAACCACCATATTAAACTAAAAAAATCTTCTAATCATATTGAACTAATTGTGATTAGTTACTTACTTTTAAAATTGACAAATATCAAATTATTATTTACTCACGATTTTTTCTTTAAGAGACGAGATTTTACATTTCGCAACACGAATTTATCAGTAACTTAATTTTTAAATTATCGAATTCGAATTTTTAACCACCTTTAGGAGGATGAATCCACCGGTTCGAGTTTCTCTTTATCACAACAATGACTTTTGGTCCTTCTTGTTTTTGAAGATTTGTTTTTGAGCACCAATCCTTTATTCGTCTTTTCTCCGGCACCAAGTCGGATATTTCCTATTAGTTTAGCATTTCATGTCACCTCAATAATATTTCATGATTGTTACATGTTTTTAATAAATATAAAGTTTAATGTCTATTTCATAAATTTTAAAATCTTAATGAAAAATTAAATCATTTTAGTAAATCTATTTGAATTTTAACATATTTTTATATTAGTGATGTATATAAATGCACATCAATGTGTGTCACTCACTCTAAACTTATCTAGTTAAAGGATTGTATCTATAAAAATATGTATTATTGAGTAATCACATTTGGTCGATTGATTAAGTTATTCATATTTATTTCTTTATATTTCCTTAAATCATAAATTCGGATTATATTTAGAATTGACTTAATATGCTTAAACTATATTGATTTTTTTAAAGTGGTGCCTAAATATTTTTGGTCAATCTAAACGTCTAACGTTACAAACGTTACATTTTTGTGTCTCTATATTTTAAAAAACTCTGTTAAGTGGCGTCTCACATTATAATAATTTAGAATTTTTTTAGTTAAATTTAAAAATATAATTTCGTTTAAAAATACATAATTCTTAAAATCTTAAAAAAATCCTAAAATTATGAAAACCTTTATTTCAATCCCTATACCCACTACATCACCGCCGTTTGCTGTCGTTGCCACACTCGATCGAACCTCTAACCGACGACAAGATGAAGCCAACTACCTAAAACCTGACGAATCTCGACGTTTAAAAAAGTTTGAAAATCGCGACACCCATGCGATTTGGTGAACCCAATAGCAAGAGCGAATATAAAGTCGGTGACGACCAACAATGGAGGCGACGACGTCGGTGACCAACAAAGGAGTTAAGGTTAGGATTAGGGTTAAGTTAGGGATTTGATATTTTTAGTGACTTGAAGTTTTTTTTTTTGTAATTAAGAGAAATTAGGTTTTTTTATAGATAATATAATATTTAAGTTATTTTAAATAAAATTTTCAAAATTACATGAATACAACACGTGTCATCTAAGGGCTATTTTAACGGCTATTACGATTGAAACACCAAAAATGTATAATTTATAACGTTAGACACCTAGATTAACCGGAAAAAAAGTTTAGGCACTACTTTAGAAAAAAATTATTTTTTAATGCCTTTAGAATTAATAAAAAAAGTGTATTGTTAATAACTAAAAAAAATTCTAACTTTTAAAATCATAGGATAGTTTTAGCAGTACTTGGCCATTAATTTTTTTTATAATACCAGCCAGTCTTTTGTGGCAGTCTTCTAACGGAAACTGAATGGATTCATCTTCACCATAGGCAAGCAGCACAGTAGTTCACTCACACAAGCTTTTGCAGATTATTTCATGCTACGCAAATATAACTCGAATTACAATGCTACTTTCCGTGTATAACATGAATTTAGAATCCTGAATCTGCCAGCATCTGCTTTTATATAACAAGAATCAAACGTTCCCTACAACTATTAGCTTGAGCAGCAGCAGCAGCAGCAGCAGTAATTAGCAATGTACAGGTGCTACGCAAAACAAACCCAACTTCTCCTAAGCATTGGATACCACATCTTATATTATACATGATAGTCCACATCAGATTGCCCTGCTGGCACTCTTCAGTGGCTAAATGGCTGGTGCCTCTACGCTTCTGAGCTCGAGGCACTCAAGAGCTCCACCATACGCACACCTAATGCAACTTCAAAAATCATAAAACAGAATCTGCAAAGCTTCAGGATCGCAATGGATCATCCGCACCCTACTCTAAATTCTTAGATCAGCCACTGGAAAAGCATAGAAAAAACACCACATATTAGTAAACACAATGCTTGTATTGCACCAATAGTTGGAAGTTCAAAAAATCATTCATTTGATACTTGTACTGCACCAGGTCTCCACCATATACTTAACAACCATCTTCATCATAACAGACAGAAGCAGCAACAGCATAACTAAATCACATCCAATCATAAATGGGTTCAATTAAATGGACAATATGTTTTATTCTCAAATAAATGTGTTCAAAATCATAATGGACAAGCAGCTCACCACAAAATAACATGCACCCACCCAAAACATAATTTACCAACTGAGAAAGAAATTCAAAGCCAACAAACAGAGAAAATGAACACAAAAATATTTTTATGAAAAAGGATCTCAAGTGAATCTTTTGCTCCCAAAATGAACAGTGCCGTTCTAGTGGTGATGTTGGATCTCATTCATTTTCTTGGCATGGTAAATGATTACAACACTTTAAAGCTTTCAACTACCTTTTGTATCCCACAAGAAACAGAAGGATACAGCTAATGACATGGCATGCATTTTTTCCCCATTTATGTAATGCAGAATGATGGTACACAAAACCCAGGGCTAGGCATAGTTATTCTCAAGACCAACATATCAAACCAAAACAAGTCAGAACAACATATCACTGCAAACTAGATCAGAAAATTTAGTAAGAAAGTTGGCCAAAATAACATGGTTGACTCATTATTCAACAACGTTGAAGATCTTCTATCACCAGTTGATTTCAATCATACAATTTAATGAGCATATCCAGTCATAAAAGTCGCAATAATATGAATCAGTTCTGCTCCCAAAAAAGATGCAAACTCATTTCATCCATTGTAGATATCCCTTTTGCCCAATTAAAAGAAGGGGGAAAAGAATGTTAATATGGAGGTGTTAGACCAGTGAGGACAAAACTACAAATGAGGACATTTATCTCTAAATTGGGATTTGGGATAGCTCTTATAGAAGATAAGTTGACAAAAAACCACTTACTATGATTTTGCAACAAAATATAGACTGAGGGATGTGCCTATTAGAAGAAAGAAGCTAATTGATATTCTGCCAAAAGATTTAAGCAAAGACCAAAAGAGAATGTGTAGAGGTGAAAAAAATGATACGGAATTATTGGAACTTCAAGAAAGGAGAATAATTGATATAAACAATTGGAGGATTTGTGTATGTGATCTGATGTAAATTTTTCTGTCTTGATTCTTGCCGCTGGCCCCAAATATGTTGAGGCTAAGGCTTGTCAGTTTGGTTCAAGGTTTAGAGTCTAGAGTTTAGGCAATTGATAAACTACCAATTATTTAAAATAGGAAGAGCATCTGAGACAGTGTTTTAAAAGGCGCGAGACGCCCTAAGGCGATTAGCTACCCGAGAGCCTCAATTTTTGAGGCGTTTTGAGGCGAGGGATTCACGTACGCGAGGCGCTTAATTTTACAAAACATTTGTAAATATTTTATAACCATACCTCAAACACAAAACAACTTAATAATTAACTTAATAAGCAAAAACACCAAGTAGCATATGTCATATTGTATCTCAAAAAGATAAATAAAAACATCATCGATAATCAAAATGCCTAAAACTCATCTTCATCATCATCGTCATCAACATCAATCCCAAACACCTACTCCTCCCCCATCATCTTCGGAAAGTCTAATATCTTGTTCCATCTCTTCATCAATCAAATTTAGTCCAATAGAGGGCCTTCTATGAGTGGAGGTTTGGACAACACTCTTTCCTCTATCTCTTGAGTTTGAACTTCAAATTGATTAAAAAAATCATTATTATGAATTTAAAATTTAAAAAAATAAAGTTCATGTAAATTAAATAAATCAACTTGAATTTGAGTTTGGGTATCTAAGCAAACGTAAAGTTTAAATGGTAAAAATGCACATTTTCCTTGAGAAAAAAACTCAAAACTAAGGTTGATGACATGGCAGGAGTGATAGGTTGTAAAGAGAGAGGAGAGAGGATATATCATTCACCCCACAGGAAATATAAAAGGATAAGCATATCCATACTTCAGAAGTGAAAATCGATAGCAGTATTCTCCAATCCCTTGCTTCAAAATCACCCCTATCAACCAACCCTCTTCTTCTAAAACCCTTGTCTTCGCCAACATGTAATTACCTACCTTTTCCTCTCCGCCGCCGACGGTTGCCAAAAATTTATTGTACCAACAACAGCGCCGATAATAGCAATGAGGCCGCAGAACCACCAGTTCCACCGCCAGTAAGACCGCCGTCAGATGCTCTTCAAATCCGATTCAAAAGAGGGTCAAGAAGGCGTCGGTAGCTCCGGTAAGAAGGTGCCCGGGGAGAAAGGCAAAGGATGAACTCAAAGGCTGTAGTTGAAGTAACTCCGAAGAAATGGGAGGAAATGAGCATGACAAAGTAGGCTTTAGAGTTGTACATTGGAGAGAAGGGTTTGCTGTTCTGGCTCAACAAGTTTGCGTATGCTTCGATTTTCATCGTATGGATAGTTTTCCGGTTTGTTGGACCTGCTCTCAATCTTTACCAACTTGATTTTCCTCCTCTTGCTCCCACCTCCATGTTCAACGGTTCTTGATCCATACCACACTGATATCCATATGTCTGAAATGGGTCATTGTACGTGAATCGCTAAAAGCATCGGCTCGTCGCCTCTCGCCGCTTCCGACGACTGAATCGCAGCCTCATGTACTCGCCGCCGCCTTGGTGGTCGGAGGCTTTCTTCTAAACGCCTCGCCTAGCGCCTCAGGCGCGCTTTTTAAAACACTGATATGAGAATCTACCACCTTTAAGAAAGAATCTACCCTTTTAACCACAATTTTGATGCCTCTATTGATCTTATAAACCCCACTCTCTCTTTCCAAGATTTGAATATTAACCTTCAAGTTGAAGCCTCGCAAAGGAGTTGCCTTGGGTCTAAAGAACCAGAATTCTTTACTTGGTCAAAATTTAATTCATGTTCTCACTTAAAATATAATCCTTCCCCACAATGATAGTTACCACCGTTTTCATCAAATGCCACTTCACAGTTCACATTATTCAAACGAACCATAATATAAATGAAACTCAGCACAATTCTACTGCAGAAGATGCCACTTGAAAATGAGCAAATGAAGCCAATGAACATTGAAGAATCAAATCAAGAATTTTTGTAAGAAAGGAACATTTCACCATACCTGAATGAAAGAAAAAAAATTCAAGACCTTGGTGAATGTCCAGCATCAGACTTAGATTTAGATGCTGAGGAACTTTCACTATCAGAATCTGCAACAAAATTATGTATGTTAAAAACATGACAAGGGAACGGAGGGGGAGAAAAGAAAAATAAACCTAGTTAGAAACATATTATAGTACCACTTGATGAAGACCCGGAATCACTGCTGGAGCTACTTGAACTACTTGACCTACTAGCATTATCTCCATGTTTTTCCACTTCAACGGTTGATGCAAACATATTCTGCTCGTCTGTAGATAGAAATAAGAAAATTTACTTATCAGTCCAAACATGCATGAAACAACCAAAACACCATCAATCTTATAATGTGAAAACTTACTAGTTGTGGCTTCCTTTGGCATTTCATCAACCAAAGCAGGTGTTGGGTCTGCAACTAAATAAAATATGAGCATTCAGCAACTCTCGGTAAAAGATTATTTCATAAGAAATTATGACAAAAAAATATACCTTCTCTTGTACAGTCTGCCCTGCTTTTGCTCTAGCTTGAATGGCAAGTTCAGCTTTTCTCTTTTTTTTGCTTAAACTTTTCTTGTAGTTGGTAATAAATCTATCTAGCTCCCAAAGTGTCTCAGTATCCACACTGTCAATGTCCACTTCAATTTCATTGTCATGCTGGAAGAGATCCGAATTCCTTTTTTTAATAATCTGTACGATATTGTCCAGCTTCTCTGAAGGCAAACTCTGAAGGTTGGTGCTAAGCTTCTGCTTCTCTTCATAAGTCATGTCCCTCTTATACGGATCCTTTGCCTTAGGCTTTTTTGGAGTAGGGATCCTACCTGAAGGAGTAGTAGCAATGAGTTTTGGTCTCAGATCATCAAGGACCATCATTGAATTTGGTCTATCCAGAATCCTTCTCATATCAAGTGGAGGGGGTAGCATTGGAGGTGCCTTTCTTGGAGTCGGCGTGGCAAGACTAGTTTCATATTCCATTGCAAGCCTCATATCCCGAATATAGTCTGCCTCTATAGCAGCCCATTTGTCCTCGAATATCTATGATAACTGCTCAGCCATTATATGAACATCTTGCCCCTTGGGATTATATGTCATAGCATTGTGAAATGTTAGTCTCACATCCTCTGCAAACTCTCTAGGCGATTTGTACCAGTTCTTGTTAAGCCTTGATTTCACAGTACCCAAATCCGTGGGATGCTTAATGATACTATAGTAATCATGCAAACCCAAACCTTTGACATCAACAGGGGCATTAAAGACCCAACCATGCTTATGCTTCATTAGTCTTTCAAGCAAAGGGATACAACTCTTAAAGCACTTGTTACCCATACCAAACCCACGATTTAATTCACTTCCTCCATTCTTCTTCCCATTTAATTTCAACTTTTTGTTACTCTCTGCTGGGGGAAACTTATCTTTCGCAAGCAAAAACTTTGAATTCCTATAGAATTGGTTTGCCTTAGGCATTCTCTTCTCCTCCTCTATATTTTCACTTACAACCTGACTATTCTCCAAGACAGGAATATTCAACTGGTTCAAAGGCCTTAATTGCTTGACAGGCTCCTGAGGAATACTGACTGAAATCAACTCTGGTTGAAGCCTCTTGAATCCATAATCAACACTATCATTCACGGGGGCATGGGAATTACTAATTTGCACTTCTTTAACCTCAATCCTCTTCATCAAGTTCCTCACCAAATCAAGCTCACTCTCCAGCTTCCTCCTCAATTCCCACATCTCCTGCTTAGACCTTGAAGCCAAATTGATCTTCACCCTGTTTTCTGAACCCGGCTTCAGAGCTCCATTATTAGCCACAACATTTTGCTTCTTAAGACTTGAAGAATCATCTGACACTGCAGTATCTACATGGGGAGCAGGCTGTTGGTGAGCTGAATCCCTATGCTCCAAAGAAGGAGGCTGTTGGTGAGCTGAATCCCTATGCTCCAAAGAAGGAGGCTGTTGGTAAGCTGAATCCCTATGCTCCAAAGGAGAAGGCTGAGTTGGTGCTTCAGCAGAGTTATTGTTGTTGTCATCACTGTTACTATTGTTCTTGTCATTTGTGTTGTCCTCATTCTGCACAATTGTAGGGGCATCGATTGTGGTGATGACACTGTTGTTCACAACAGTGCTGCCAATTTTGTTGTTTTCATTTTCGTTGTTGTTATTGTTGTCGTTGTTGTTGTTGTCCGCTTTGTTGTTAATGATGTTGCCTTCGCTGCCATCCTTGGTGGTGTCGATGTTGTTGCCTTCGTAGCCATCCTTGGTGGTGTCGATGTTGTTGCCTTCGTAGCCATCCTTGGTGGTGTTGATGTTTCTGTTGTTCTTGTTGTTGCCTTAGTTGCCATTCTTAGGGGTGTTGATGTTAGTGGTGGTGTCCAGAATATTGTTTTTCTTGGGACCCTTAAACGTTTTCCTGGTGTAAACCTTGTTCTCCATGTACCGCTGCCTCTATCTGGTTTCACCATCTTTTCCTTCTCCAACCGCCGTCCCCGAAGCCATACATATATTAGGGTTTAAAACCCTAATTTCCCCCTTTTCGAGACTCCAAACGATAAAGGAATCAATTCCGATCAATCAGAACTAGGGTTTAACCACCTCCGCTCAAAAAACCTAATTTAACCTCTCCAAGCTTGAGATTTTCCAAATTTCTAACCACCAAATCCAAGATAAACACGACAAATCTAAAGAACGAAACCCCTTCTCGATCTACAAAGTAAAAACTATAATCATCCTTATAAACCCTGAACCAAATCAAACATAACAAAAGAAACAGGTAAAAAGACAGATTTCTCAGCGCCTTACCTTGGCCGGTTCGATGTCAGATCTTCCCCCTCTCTCTTTCTCTCTCTAAGAAAACTCTGTTCATTTTTTTCTCCCCGTAATTTTTTTCTTTCTTTCTCCCTCTATCCTTATCTTACAGGTGTACGGTGGAGCGTGCCCTCGTGGTTCCAACCGACTCAATAGAAGCGTGTGGGTGCATCGAAAAAGCCGTGCTCCGGAAGAATCATATCGAGGATTGGGAGGTTTGACTCACGCTCAGCAATTTCACGTGTTTCACACGAACCAATTAAAAGACGGAATTTGGGGAGCGTCCGAGTGTGAATATGACGTAAGATTGAAGTTATTGGGTTGGATTAGAGAGGGACCTTTAATTGTGGGGTTTCATATATTTTCCTCAGACGAGGAGATGTGGTGTGTTGTTCAACCGCTAGGGTGTTTGGTAAGTAAATGTTCAGAGAGTAAAGACATGCGCCTCTCTTGCTTTGGTATACTGGAATGCTTGATTATTTCCGGAAAAGAGATTTTTAATTTGGTTTTTCTATATAATGGGATTGGTCAAATTACTTTTTTTCATTATATTTAATGTAATTTTTTTAATTAATCATTAATATCTGATTTATTGACCGATTAATCTATATCGGGTTTTGCAAAAGTATATTACGGGGTCGATCATTCCATCCAAATTTATTCTATACGCAAACGTCACGATTGGAACCTCTGACAAAAGCACCTAGGAGTATCGAATCCCCTAAACTATACAAAGATCATGATTTACAACATTCACATTTGATTAATTGATAAAATAAAATATGTCACGTTATCATTATGCAGATGTGACACATGCCACGGTATCAACTTTAGTGATGCATGACATATAGTAATTAAACACATGTAAAAATGACACGTCATAAACATGTATTGATCGTTAGTCAATTAACGATTTCCTCCCAACAAATAATATTTGAATAGAAAATGTATATTGGGGGCTAAAATGCTCTAAAAAAAACGAGTCAAAATAATCATTTGTGAAAACATTAGAGAATAATTTAATCATTGTAAATTTTTAAAATCATAAATAACATTACATTTTAGTTTTGTTTTGGTTACATACAGTTAAAACGGTAATGTTTAAATTGTTAAAGAAACAAATTTTGAGGGAACAATTGGAAAAAGAGGAAAACATTAAAGAACTTTGTGTCATTATACCAAAAAAACAGATAGACAATCCTTACCACCCACGTGGTGCCATCCAATAGGCTGGGAGGATTCATGTTAATGAAGCGTGAATAAAAAAAGAGAAGCTAAACTACTTAACTAGTCATCGACGCTTCATTAACCTGCAAAATCATCTGCAATGGCGCTCTGGGCAACTTCCTCTTCTCAGAAGCTTTTCCTTGCATCTCTACCTTCAACGATATCCGAAAATGGAAGAAGAATATATTCAGGAGCCATAGTTTGTGTTGGGGTGGCAGATGTTAAAAGGGTAGGGTAGTTAGTTTTAAGGAACATGATTGGCTAGTTTGTTAGTTGGTTATGATGTAGTTAGGTGATTTAATTATTGTATATAAGGATTGTTAATCTTTGTATAAAGGAGACATGTGTGGAATAGAAATTTATTTCCTTCGCTTCCAGAATTCATTTTTGCTTCCCTCTCTTTATTCATTTCTAAATCATTCTGTAGGATCTAGTTTTGATCTGAATGTTGACATGGTATCATTCGCCAGTTTTTTTTTTTTTTGCTTTTTCTGCATTTTTTCTTCATCATCGTCCTTTACTGTTAATGTCGTTATATTTATGCCTCTCACTTTCTTCATTTGGTTTGTTTTATTCATCCTTTTCTTTTATCTAGCTTTGCTTGTTTCTTGTTTGTTCTTCCTTCTTTATCGATAGCATGAGAGACTCTCAAATAGAATTTGCTCTTTATCTTCATCTGTCAGACACACCTGGCACGTTATTGGTAACTCATCAGTTGACTAGAGTTGAAATCTATAATCTATGGAGCAGGTCCATGCGGATTGCACTACTAGCCAAGAATGAGACTGGGATTTGGCACTTGCTCCTGTGATAGCTGTTCTCCGGATCTATTGGCGTAATGGGGTCGTTGTAATTCTATTGTCTTTCTTAGATATTAAATTCAATAAGTCAAGAACTTTTAGCTGGTATTGTTTTTGCCTCAAATGCTTCGCTGGTTTGGCAAGATCTTAAGGAACGTTTTGATAAAGTTGATGGATCTAGTTTTAAGGAACGCTTTAATTTCAGTTTATCACACTCGTCTCCGATTACCGTGGGATGAATATGATGATATTGCTTCATTTGAGTCATGTCACTGTGAAGCTTCTCGGAATAATAGTGATCACGTTAATCAACAACGATTGTTTTAGTTTCTTATAGGGTTGAATGAGTCGTATTCGACGGTGCGCAACCTGCTCTTGTAAATGAAGCCTTTACCGATAGTTAATCAATCTTTCTCCATGTTAGCTTAGGAGGAAGGACAACGTCATAATTTGGGGCAAAAATCTTGTGATTTCTGAATCGACTACACTATATAGCAGTTCTTCGAATTCTCAATCAAGAAGGCGTTTTAATGGGGTTTCGATCATTGTCATCTTAAAGATCATAAACGGGAAACAATTTACAAGTTCACAGGTTACCAGCTGATTTTAAGTTTACAAGGAAGAAGGGTTCTTCTGCCAACAGTGTTTCCACCTTGGATGGAGTTGACTCAAAGCTTAGTTTGTCTTCCGCCAGTAGTGCTTCTCCAAACGTGATTGTTCCCACTTTCACGCGTATGCAATACAAACAAATTTTGGAACTGTTGGGCAAGGTGTCAACAGTCCCAGCAGCTACTCATATGGAAGGTACGATTTCTAATTCTTTGAGTCGAGAATGGATTCTTAACACGGGCCACAAATCACATGATATTTGATCTATAAAACCTGAATTCTCTTGTTGTTTGTGCTCCAATCTCGTATATTCAATTTCCCAATGGTAAAACTACCAAAGTATTACATACATGGACCTCTATCTTTTCTCCTACTCAAACTTTAACCAATGTTCTTTATGTACCCAATTTCCATTACAACTTATTGTCAATTTCACAATTGACTAAAGACATTAACTGTTGTGATTTGTTTTATCCCCATTTTTTCCTCATACAAGACCTTTGCAATGGAGAGATGAAAAGGATTGGTAGGCTCCAAGATAGTTTGTACATTCTGAAGACGACTCACCTTACAAAGCTTCCCTTTTCATGTTCATTTGATTTACCTTTTCGGCTTTTCCTTCCACTACCTGTTTATCTTCTACATATTTCAATTATAGTGTACTGTGTCATGCTAGACTTGGGCCTTCATCTTTGACTACTTTGAATAAAATACCTCAGTTACAGTGTAATTTTTCTCATAATGATCATATATCATCTTGTGGAGTTTGTCCTATTGCCAAGCAATCTCGGTTGCCTTTCCCTAACAGTACATCTCGTGAGGCTAACCCTTTCTTTCTTGTGCATATAGATCTTTGGGGGGCATATTGTGTTTCAACATACAATGGACATAGGTATTTTTTAACCATCGTGGATGATCATAGCTGGATGACGTGAGTATATTTGCTAAAACTAAAAGTGATCCATTTGTTGTTCTTAAACAATTCATAAAATAAGTTTATACTCAATTTTCAGTTCTTATTAAAATCATTAGAATCGACAATGGCTCAGAATTGTTTAGTGTAGAAGGTAACGAATTTTTTGCTTCTAATGGTATAGTTCATCAAAGTTCTTGCGTGCATACTCTCCAAAAATATGGAGTCGCTGAGCGTAAACGTCAACATCATTTAAGTGTTGCTCGAGCTCTAAAGTTTCAATCTTCGATGCCAACTAAGTTTTGGGGTGAGTGTCTCCTAGCAGCTTGTTACATAATCAATAGGTTACCTACTAAGGTTTTAAGTTGGAAGTCACCTTATGAAACACTTCATCATAAGCCTCCAAATTTTTCTCGACTTAAGGTGTTTGCGTGTTTGTGTTATGCCACAGTTCCTAACTATCATGACAAGTTTACTGCTAAAGTCGTTCCTTGTGTTTTCATGGGTTATTCTATGGTTCAAAAGGGTTATATTTTATTTAATCTCCATTATAATTCATTCTTTGTAAATCGTGATGTTGTCTTTCACGAGACAATATTTTCTTTCCAATATCCTGTTAACAGTTGTTCCTTATTTCCAAACAT